TGAAAGAGACAGTGGAAGAATACACAGGACAAAGCTGAAGCGAACTGACTGCTATTGGACTGCAAAGTGGGAGAGGAGCAAGTGAGGACAGAGGAATGCTGTTGTTTTATTTTGGGGAATCAAATTGGGTTAAGGAATCCAGGGAGACAAACAACTGCCTTGAAGTGAAGAATTGAAAAAGTGTCCAGACCACCACAAAAGGGGGAGGAAGACAAGCACTGAGGTATACAAGTGCACTGCTGGACAAAACGGAAAGGCAACACCTCACGTGCACACAACATGTACTGGGGGTAGCACAAAATCATACAGGAAGTGCACACATCACAAGAGGGTACCTGTAGAAGGGGTTAACAACACACAGCGTGGTTGCCTATGGTAACTCGCAAGCATTAGGATGTAGCTGTGCCTGACTATGATTGAATTTTTAAATTTTTATTTAGGTGTTTCTGAAACAAAAAGGTGGAGCAAAAGAAGTTTTGTTTCAGAAAAAAGGGGGAAGGTAAATAAAATGACATACATAAGTACAAAATGCATGACTAGGAAAAGTTTGGGGGATTTAATTGGCTGATACATTTTTTGTTCGTTACCAAGTTGAACCTGCTAATTAGATTTGGTGTGTTTTAATTTTTAGAGAAGGAATATTCTGGGACAAGTCCTAAGGCTACGATTTTATATATGTGGTTATTCTGGTATTTTATTTTTTAACAGTGCACTGACAGTTTTGTTTGACAATTTTCTCTCTTACAAGCAGGCCTGCACGATTGGATATGAAAGCGCTATACTAAATTTTTGCTTGAAAATTATCGCAAACTGAGCTTCTCCACTTTACAATGGGCTCTGGAGAAAGTCACTTATTTGGGACGCAATCAGATAATGAGTCCCTGCCATAAAGGATTTCGCGAGGCAATCCATTCTAAAATTCTTTTTTTGTTCTTTTTGAAATGTCGTCATATTGCTGGCAGTAGAAACTTGATGCGACATGAGAGGTTCTGCTATCAGCAATAAACACGGGGACTGACTGGACTGACAAAAACTTGACTGACTTGACACCAATATGCAAGATTGCACCTCCACCCACAGAGCAAAAAGGGTGGATGTTTCTTTTTTTTTTTACAGGAACAGGAGGATGAAAGCAACATCATAGTTTTGCATGTCTTGTAGGCCATGCAGATCTTTTGGTTGCCAGTTTTTCTGTGTCTATTTACAAGCAGTGTGTTAATATGACCTTGTATTGTTTACAATGCAAAGGTCACTGTGAGAAAGTGTCCATACAAGATGCACTGGGCTAACATCTACACCACTTTTTCTACAGCAGAGGGCTAATCATATGATTTAATCACATGATTTGCAACAGGAAACACCACTGGCCAATTTTTTAAACACAGGTTTACAGGCCTGGAGCAGAGCTACTCCATGGGAGAAGCCCTGGAATTTTTAAGAGAGAATGC